TAGGTCTACAATCTTGTCCCTGACATTCTTGGAGAGCTCTTTGGTCTTGGCCATGGTGGAGAGTTTGGAATCTGATTGATTGATTGCTTCTGTGAACAGGTGTCTTTTATACAGGTAACAAGCTCAGATTAGGAGCACTCCCTTTAAGAGTGTGCTCCTAATCTCAGCTTGTTACCTATATAAAAGACACCTGGGATCCAGAAATCTTTCTGATTGAGAGGGGGTCAAATACTTATTTCCCTCATTGAAATGCAAATCAATTTATAAAATTTTTGACATGCGTTTTTTTTCTGGATTTTGTTGTTATTCTGTCTCTCACTGTTCAAATAAACCTACATTAAAATTATAGACTGATAATTTCTTTGTCAGTGGGCAAACATACAAAATCATCAGGGGATCAAATACTTTGTTACCTCACTGTATATAAATGCATTGGCATATGTGGTCATTGACACGGTAAAACTAGTCAAGATGGTGTGGTGGTGTTGCAGTGTCAAGAAAAGTGCTTCATGGTGTCTTAAACTCTCTTCTCATTTGGCAGCAATTGGAGAGTACAGCCATGTCTTTAGCTGTATGCAGTGAGGCATGGGGCGTCTGCGAGAATGCCGGCAATTCACGGAGCAAGACCAGAGGTCGAGCCATGCTGCCCACGTCTAGAGAGATATTTGTGTGCTTGAATAATAATAGTGAAAATTATTGTACAGGCAGACCTTGCTTAGCGCTCAAAATGTGTATGCTGGAGAAGTGGCCACTAATCAAATCGGCGCATAAAGGAGTTCATTAGACAATTGTATATATGGGGATGCATTCCCAACAGCTTTAATTCTTACATGTGTAATGCGAGCGTAGGCTGGGGCTTCGCCGCCCCAGCCCCTAACCCATCCAGGCGACACCAGCCATCGGGGGAAGGGTTCAAGGGTGGAGCCCGTGGGCGCTAGGGGGTGGTATTATCTGGAAAGTTCTCAAGGGGTGTGGTGAAGGGCAGAGTCTGGGTGACGCGGGAAGGGGATATAATGGAGAGCCGGAAGGGGCTCGAGGTCAGTTGGTGAGAGCTGGAAGCTGGACCACGTCGCGGGTCTCCGTGAGCCATCAGCCACGTGGCGACGCGGAGACGGCTCCCAGCGCGCCGTCTGCCAGCGGTGCGCGGGAGCGGGGAAGCGGGACGCCAGCTCACGCGACGCGCCGCGGAACGTCCGAGAGAGCGGAACGCGAGCTGTCCATATAACGAAGAATAACAGACGGAGACACAGTCGCTTCTTTTTTGGTTCTTTCGGTAAAGTCACGTAGAAGGGAAATAATAATAATAAATAAAACATAATAACATACAATAAACTGACACCTTTTTGCAAGGAGTCATGTTTGCATAGACCGCAATACCTGCAGTCATAATACAAACAAAAGAACATAACTCTGATAATGTGCACTGTCCTTGAAGTTGATTGGTCCACACCCGAGACAGCTTTCCTTCGAGCCTAGTCTCATATGGGTTGGACCAGATGACGCCAAAAGGCGCACAACTCAAGGACAATGCACCATCAGAGTATGAGAGCTCGGGGAAGCATCTACAGGGGACCTCATTTGCCAGTAAAAATGATAATTGGTTCTTTACCCTTCTATCTGGCAACAAAACTGACACCTTTTTGCAAGGAGTCATGTTTGCATAGACCGCAATACCTGCAGTCATAATACAAACAAAAGAACATAACTCTGATAATGTGCACTGTCCTTGAAGTTGATTGGTCCACACCCGAGACAGCTTTCCTTCGAGCCTAGTCTCATATGGGTTGGACCAGATGACGCCAAAAGGCGCACAACTCAAGGACAATGCACCATCAGAGTATGAGAGCTCGGGGCAAGCATCTACACTATGGGGACCTCATTTGCCAGTAAAAATATGATAATTGGTTCTTTACCCTTCTATCTGGCAACAAAACTGACACCTTTTTGCAAGGAGTCATGTTTGCATAGACCGCAATACCTGCAGTCATAATACAAACAAAAACATAACTCTGATAATGTGCACTGTCCTTGAAGTTGATTGGTCCACACCCGAGACAGCTTCCTTCGAGCCTAGTCTCATATGGGTTGGACCAGATGACGCCAAAAGGCGCACAACTCAAGGACAATGCACCATCAGAGTATGAGAGCTCGGGGCAAGCATCTACACTATGGGGACCTCATTTGCCAGTAAAAATATGATAATTGGTTCTTTACCCTTCTATCTGGCAACAAAACTGACACCTTTTTGCAAGGAGTCATGTTTGCATAGACCGCAATACCTGCAGTCATAACAAACAAAAGAACATAACTCTGATAATGTGCACTGTCCTTGAAGTTGATTGGTCCACACCCGAGACAGCTTTCCTTCGAGCCTAGTCTCATATGGGTTGGACCAGATGACGCCAAAAGGCGCACAACTCAAGGACAATGCACCATCAGAGTATGAGAGCTCGGGGCAAGCATCTACACTATGGGGACCTCATTTGCCAGTAAAAATATGATAATTGGTTCTTTACCCTTCTATCTGGCAACAAAACTGACACCTTTTTGCAAGGAGTCATGTTTGCATAGACCGCAATACCTGCAGTCATAATACAAACAAAAGAACATAACTCTGATAATGTGCACTGTCCTTGAAGTTGATTGGTCCACACCCGAGACAGCTTTCCTTCGAGCCTAGTCTCATATGGGTTGGACCAGATGACGCCAAAAGGCGCACAACTCAAGGACAATGCACCATCAGAGTATGAGAGCTCGGGGCAAGCATCTACACTATGGGGACCTCATTTGCCAGTAAAAATATGATAATTGGTTCTTTACCCTTCTATCTGGCAACAAAACTGACACCTTTTTGCAAGGAGTCATGTTTGCATAGACCGCAATACCTGCAGTCATAATACAAACAAAAGAACATAACTCTGATAATGTGCACTGTCCTTGAAGTTGATTGGTCCACACCCGAGACAGCTTTCCTTCGAGCCTAGTCTCATATGGGTTGGACCAGATGACGCCAAAAGGCGCACAACTCATGGACAGAGTTATGTTCTTTTGTTTGTATTATGACTGCAGGTATTGCGGTCTATGCAAACATGACTCCTTGCAAAAAGGTGTCAGTTTTGTTGCCAGATAGAAGGGTAAAGAACCAATTATCATATTTTTACTGGCAAATGAGGTCCCCATAGTGTAGATGCTTGCCCCGAGCTCTCATACTCTGATGGTGCATTGTCCTTGAGTTGTGCGCCTTTTGGCGTCATCTGGTCCAACCCATATGAGACTAGGCTCGAAGGAAAGCTGTCTCGGGTGTGGACCAATCAACTTCAAGGACAGTGCACAATTTTCACGACGTTTCGGCCACAACGCAACGCAAGCCGTCCTCAGGTGAAGAACAGGTCTGTCGGGGAGACAGCGTCTGAATGAACACAGTCGCTTGTCGTCGACCTGTATTATTGCACATGTATGAGCAATATATGAGGGCTTCATTGAGGTATTGGTAACAGCACTAATAATACAGATGCTAAAACTTCTTTTGAATAAGTAATATTTTAAAATACTTTTTTTTTAAACACGCTTTAATGAAATGTACCGTATGAGTAATGGCAGAACTCCACAACTCCAGGAAGTGGCCCCGAGGCTTGCCATAATGTAAGGGACCGTGGTCAATTACAGCCTACGTAAGTTGAGCGTTGACAATTAGACCCAAGCCGAAACATAACATATAAAAAAGATTGTTTCAAAATATATATTTTATTTTTTTGATAGAATATAGTATTGTCATGGATACGGCTATTTTAATACACACAATGGACTGGAAGGACAAGATTAAAGGGCTCGTATAATGCACATGCATAATGTACGTTGACTCATTAATCGCCCCCCCTCCACTTTACGCAAGAGCGTGAAGTGTGGTCACCACATCTACGCCTCTATATAAGGAACAAAACAGGTGGACTTCTCCACAAATCTGTCTGTCGCCTGATGAAGCTAGTTGTAATACTGGCAAAACATCGTACTCAGATTGTAAATGTTGTGGCTTGGCATGTTCTGTTTACATTACAACCCTTACTAGTTGGCTGTGTCGGGTGGTGGTGGATTTTAACGACACATATATTTACACGATCTAACAAAACAAACCTCTTATGGATGATATTCGTCGTGAAAGCCTACATGTTAAACGGGATATTCGATGTCCCCTGTGAAGCCGATGGCGTTTATTTTACGGCTCGTACATCTTAGTATTAACCAGGACGGCCTGTCGGAATAGAACCGCAAACCTCTGCAACAAGTGGCAAATGCACTACCGCTGAGCCACGTCAATTATTTTATTCATAAACTTAGGTTTCCACGGCCAGCGTTATGATGCATAGTTGATTTGTGGGCTTAATTGAGGAGTGTGTATGTTCTCCACCTGCTGTACATGGACGACTCGTAGACTGAACTCTTAGTAAGGGCTTGCGCCAGTTTATTAACACAGAGGTAACACAACACACCAGAGGTAGGTGTCCCTACACTCAGTCCTTGACGCGGACGTCAGGCTCTATCTATTCCTAGCCTGGGCTATCTCTTGGCCTCTCACTCGAGTTGGGATGGGGGCTTATCCAACACCACCCGACCGAGGAGAGCAGCACCCCACGTAATCTTAACCGGCTCTTGCAGACTTCTCTGAGCCCTACCCCTGGCTGTATCTTCGGCTCTCCTACTCGTAGAACCCGGACGGGGGGTCAGCCAACACCGTCCGGTCACGAGCAGGAGAGACCTTAAGACGCTCACCATCCCGGGCTCCCACAACGACCCCGCTTTCGCCACGGGGTCCCCGTTAAGTATTTCCCGTGACATGACGTCATTGTGCCTCACAGCGCTCATGATGTCATGTCGTCATACTACTCTACACATGTGTAGTGAGTGACATTGGGGATGTAACTGTATGGTGCCAGACAGCATCGTGTGTGTTGCAGAGTGATGCCGGCTCTAGCAGAGCACGGCGTGCGATGCACTGTGTTGCCTCTGAAGAAGAACTTCTGCAACTCAGTTGGACTCACTACACATGGATTTCCTCCCATAAAATAAAAAACCCCTTCCAATAATAGTAGGTTTTTACCCTTTTAACTGGTACAAAACTGACACCTCTTCCAATTGAACATGTATTGCTCATCTATCCCAATGCTGGAAATTACTTGCAAAATTACTGAATTCGGATGACACATGCAATCATCATCCCCTCCTGCTGCCAAAAAAATGGCATGACCCTCGTTAAAAATATTCTTGAGACTTAGGATTTTCTGGGTCAGGAAGTGTAACAATAATAAAAATGTCCTTGTCCCTAACTCTTGTTTCTGTCCTCCTGACAGGTGGAGGTGAATGTGAGTGTGCGCCACATGTACCTGTACAGCCGCGAGGTGCGTGGGGTGGTGGCACATCTCCGCGCCGAGTGTGGGTCACTGTCCGTGCACGCAGTTGCCTTGGCCCACACTCAAGGTGATCTGAACAAGGCCTTGGGACACGTTCGTAATGAGAAACAGGCAAATGTGCAAGCATCTAGCATGCGATCGCGACGACCTACACGTGAGGTGGTAAGTCTTGAATAATAATAATTTAGTTGACAGTAATACCCCGGTTTATGTCGGGGATGCTTTTCTTAAATGTGCGACAACGAATACCGAAACGACGTAAATCAATGCAATTTTGCCACGAGGACTAAACAATGCTGAAGCCGTGTTAATGCGTGCATCTTCATCCTAGACGTATCCGCAACATTACATTCAATTACTAAAAATACTACACTCAATACTAGTTTCGGCAGTAAACGTTAAAACATTATTAGCAGTACATTATGAAAATAAAATCACTAAAATATCATGCGTAATTACTATATTGTACTCCATAGTACAGAACATTTCTTTATGCGCGATGCAAAGTAGTTTGTGTACAGGGTTAGGTGGAGGTGAAGGTTGAGAGGCGACGGTTACGAGAAAGGGCGGACGATGCTGTCAGCGATATGAGTGTGGGTTGAGGCAACGCTAGTCGGGTAGCGGTGGTGTTGATAATGAAGTGACAACGTATTTTCTAAACGATATAAAAGGGGGAGGTGTAAAATCGCAAGGCTTACAGCGCAAGGCTATCACGAAGGCGCAGTCTGCAGTAGCTACATGTTGTGATGTTGCTTTGTGGAATGCCAATTGAGGAATTTGTCGGTCATTTGTAAATTTGGAAAATTTGAACCGTGACAGCAACACACATTGGCCTACTCTTATCAAACTAGCTTATTTGCCCATCCTAGGACGGAAGCTGTAATATTTACGAAAAAAAATAGCAGAGTATAATTGTATCCTGTGTTAATTGAATTGCAGTGAATCTTGCACGAAATTATGTCATAAAACACTTCACTGCATTTCACTGTAGCACTGTATATAACTGACCTTCAATTTGTTCTAATTCACTGCTCTGATACTTTATTATTTTCTGCTTTCGGTCGCTGGGGTGCAAATAAATTGGATTGCAATACAATATCTGGAAAATCACCGAGAAATGTCTATTTAACCAAAATGTAGAAGCATAAATTAGACTTATCTTAGGAAAAAATATAGACCGTAAATCCAATTTGTTGCCGCGTAGAATTATTTATTAGATTCATTTTAAATAAAGAAACGTGAAACTTAAAGCGAATTTGCAACAAATAATAATTCTGCTCTACCTTAATGATGGGGGTGCGGCATGTGGAGTGACGTCACGCGCGGGACACAAACTCCCTAATTAATAATCATGAGCGGATGACGTCACTGATGTGGACCACGCCACCCACCCCCTCATTAATAATCAAGAGTGGATGATGTCATTCCACATGGAGTTCCCCCCCCTGATCAATAATCACAAGCGGATTCCGTCACTCCACATGGAGCTCCCCCCTTCATCAATAATCATGGAATGATGACGTCACTCATGTGGACCCTGGCCCCACCCCCTCATTAATAATCATGAGCGGGTCTTTATTTTCGATTGAATATTTCAGATTAACTGCAATACACCCGTCCTTGGACGGGCTATAGGCTACTTTTATAATAATTTAGAAGCAAAAATTAGACTTACCTTTTGTTTCAAGTGCTGAAGAAATAAATAAAGACACCAGATACACTTTGTTGCTGCGTAGAAATATTGATTTGATTACATTTCAATAAAGAAACGTCAAATTTAAAGTTAATTTGCGTAAAACAAATTATTTCCAATCAACCTGCGGGAATGTAAAAATCCACCCGCTCATGATTATGAATGAGGGGGGGGGGTGTCTCTTTTGCAGTGACGTCACGTACGGATTTAGCACTGCTGCGTATATTTATTTTTTACTTTCTGTAAAGAAACGTCATATTTGAAGCAACTTTGCGAAAAAACTATCTTTCCACTCGGCCTTCCGCGGTAAAAATCCACCCGCTCATGATTATTTTATTATTAATGACGGGGGAGGGGGTATGTGGAGTGACGTCACGTGCATTACACACATTTCTGGGCTATTATAGTAGTAATGCCATCAGCGGGAATTATAACGTCCACTGTGAAGCGTCACTTTCATGTAAATTGCATCATCAGATTCGCTGATTTAGATCTCTGTATCGCGAGAAGAAAGCTCAAAGTGGTCCATGGGCGACCGGGATTTTGCTTTGGTGGCCATTGGACTTTGGAACTCTCTGTCAAAGTTGGTCAGGGAGTCTAGTTCAGTTTGGGCCTTCAGGTCCCCCCTAAAAATATTTATCTTTTAAGAAAGCATCTCGAATTTTAACTTAGCCACTTCTTACCCCCCCCCCCCCCCATTGTAAGGCACCTTGATGTTTTATGCATGGGGTCAGTAAAAGAGAAGAAGCAGAAAGAGAAGTGTTGTGAGCTGCGGTCCTGAGTGAATGTGTGTACAGGTGAGCGTGTAGCTCGGTGAGTGAGCGTGTGGGTGATTTGCCACAGTGTAATGGTTAGCACACTGGATTTGCGATGATCCTAAGGTCACCAGTTTGTTTCTATGGCAGTTGAAACAACGGTGCAAGTCTCTCGAATTCCCCCCCCCCCTACTGCCTCTGCCCAGCCAGTAATGTAAATGTTGTACAGCACAGTCCAAGGGCAGACTGCGTGTGGTGGGTAAAGTTTGGGTGCGCCCATCTCTTCATACCAATAACTCGACTGGAAACGATAACCACTCCCTGACTTTCAGAACTGATACTTGATTGATAATTGGTTTTTTACCCTTCTATCTGGCAACAAAACTGACACCTTTTTTGTTGCCAGATAGAAGGGTTAAAAACCAATTATCATATTTTTACTGGCAAATGAGGTTCCCATAGTGGTACTTGATTCTGAAAATGGTTGCAGGCTTATTGGTTACTGTTTAACAACCCTACCATGTGCACTGGTACTCAGAGTGCTGGGAGCTCACTGAATGCATGCACTGTATGAACTCTTCTCTTGCTCTGGCTGGGACTGTAGGGTCCAGATGAAGTGGACCTGCTGCTTGGTGTTGAGCGGAAGCAGCTGGCAGAGTTGGAGAGTGTCCTAGCAGAAACGCTGCTGCGCGCTGAAGCCTTACAGCAAGTATGTCAGCGCATCAAGCAGTACAGCGTAGCACACTGCAACACTGGTTTATTATTAATAGAGTGCCCCCTTCACACCGGGGTGACTCAGAGCGCTTTACAAGCAGTAAGCAACTTGCATCATATCTATGGGACCTTTTTGCCCAGTATCAAAAATAATGAAAAATAATCATAGGTTTTACCCTTTCTGGCAATACACCAGGAGGTTTTTAGATATTCCAACACCAAATAGATACCTTTTGCAAGGGATCAAGTCTATATTAACCACAAATACTTGTGGCAAAACATGCAAACAAACATACTCTGATAATATATTCTTTGTCCTTGAAACTGATTGGCCTTGTCTGAGCAGTTTTAGACCAGAGAACACCAAAAGGTACACATTACAAGGACAATGCAAGTATCAGAACACGTATATCTCTGGTCGAGCATTAATATCTACAGGACATTTTTGCCAGGAAAAACAATGACGAAACATAAGAATAGGTTTTACCCTTTCTGGCAATAAAACAGATGTTAAGATATTCAAACATCAAATAGATACCTTTTGGAAGGCACAAGTCCTTTTTTTATCAATTTGCATCACATCTCAGCAAATTGAAAAAGGCATCACCAGCAGCAGCTGTCCCCGTGTGGCACAAGAGGACTCCGCACCGACCAGCAAGAAGATATTTGTCTGCCGGTAGAGGGCGATGTTCCTATGGGTATCTCAATTGAGTAATTTGTGGGTCATTTCCCAAATTTGAACCATGACTTGCCAGCACACAATGACCTCATTTCAAATTGTTTCAGGGGATATTTAACGTCCACTGTGAAGCAGATAGCGTATACAGTCGATTTTCCTATAATGTGGTAGTTGCGTTCCTGCAGAACACCGTGTTATGGAAAAATGGCATTATAATAGATAATATAACATAGGATAAAGCACAGTCAGCGATGCGTACGCAGGCTGAACAAACACTTAGGTGCGTGGATAGCATCTAGAAGCATCCAGCAGCATTCCGCCTTGTGCGATAATGCTTCGCCGAGGTAGCTGTACAACCACTTATTCCTACTCGTGCAAAGTAGTTCCATTCACTCAATCGCGTTAGCTCCAATTCGCTTCCGCATTGTAAAAATGTGTTCCCTAATATATTCATTGCATTACATAAAATTCGCGTTATGAAAACTATGCGTTATCGGAGATCAGACTATTTATATGATTAATAAACTCAAATGAGTAACCAGGGCGGCCTGCCAGATTCAAGCCGCAAACCTTTTGAAACAAGCAGCGGACACGCTCCTGTTGGGCCATGTCACCACCCCGTTGTGTTCATGCACACAACTCACTCGTCTTATACATGCACTGCTCTTGTTGAGGAAAAGCCTAGTTACTGCTGCCTGAATGGATTGCCAGATATTCCATGGTGTTTTTTTGCAATTGAGCACATAACTTTGCATTCCTTCCAGTCGTAATTTTTTTTAATTCGTTTAACAGTTTTAACTAACATCAAAACTAGTAAGAAAAGTGTTATTTTAAAAAGTAATTGGGCTCGGGCAGGATATAATCCTGACGAGAAGGGGTAGTGAGCAATGGTTAAGAATCACAATGGAGTTGCACTGAAGGAATGGAATGCGATCAAGGAGATGGAGTGATATAATCAGTTCGCGTGCTGGTGCTGGATGGATTCCTGCAGCGCAGGATCCTGAGAGGTGGCAGTGGCATGGGGAGGTATTCATCTGGCAGTGGATTGGGCATGGCTGATAATGGTGATGAGCAGGTTTACTAAGATAGTACCTATTCGACTTGAGGGCACTACATTATTTGTAAATGTATATATTGCATGTTTGCACCTCCAATTAGCACGGTTGGCTACGTACGGTGCGAAAGAAGTTAGACATACATATGGACATTGCATTTATAACTACAGTGTTAATCTTTGAACTTGATTTTCTCTCCATGCAGAACTTGGCCCTTTGCCGTAAGCGGTTGCTGGCGTGCATCTCTGAGAGGTCTTGTGTGCTAGACTTGATCGGTCACGCAACACCCAGTCGTCTAAGTCATACGACTCCTTCTGCCAAATGGAGCCCAGATCCTATTGGCCCACTGTCCCCAGGTATACACGTGGTATGGAACATGCAGATGTTTATGCACAGGTCGTAATAATAATTTGCTTTAGAGTAGCTTTCTTTATGCCGGGGTGTCTCACAGCTTTTAATACGTGAGAAGCACCTTACATCTCATGTCAAATACTTTAAGGGTACCCCCAGTGACAGCAGTCTCTGGAGCACAAGGTGACTCAGCACCTCGCCTGCAAGAAGGCATTCGTATTGTCAGTCGGGGAGATTCTTGATATGTATTTTCCAATGGAGTAATTCACTCCGTAATTTTGGGAATTTATAAATATATGTTTTACTATGATGCCAGCGCACATGGCCTACTCATTTCGAGTTACATTAGAGGATTTTTAACGTCCACTGTAAATTAAGCAGATGGTGTGTGGTAATATACCATGAAGGCACACTGCAGTATCAACCAGGGTGGCCTGCTAGGTTCAAACCATGAACCTCTGCAACAAGCACCAAACGTCCTGCTGGGCCATGTCACTACCAAATAGTACAGTACCATGTATTGGGAGTAATAATGTTACAGGACACACATGCCATGCCATAATGTCATACGTCAAGAGTACTTACAACATCGCACAGTGATTCAAGGGAGTACACAGTCCTGTGAGTCCAAAGAGTTGAGCGAGACCGGAGCCATATAATACAGCACAATATGACCAATAAGGGCCAATTACTTCTACATATATATAATTTACATTTGTATATCCGTTCATTTATCTATCATGCTCTTGAACTCCCAAACGCTGTGTGGGAGAACAAAATCCATAAAATATAAACAATTTCCCTTGCCGAGGACATTCCCAGGAATTTGTATAAAAGGTCTGTGAAGATGCATTATAAATGAATGTGACATTCCTTTATTATTGTTAACGAATGTGCTGAAACAGGTAAAACATTTATTAGTCAATGCCTGTGTCCTCTCCATTTGCGCTTAGGTTGAGTTGGGATTGTCCAGATTTGGCATGGAAATTCGTCAGCGCTTCTTCCACCACACACGCCATGGTTCTGGTTATGGCTGTGATTATAATATGGTTATGGTTGTGGTTAGAATATGGTTATGGTCGTGATTATAATGTGCTCATTATTGTGGTTATAATGTGGTAGTTGTGGTTATGGTTGTGCTTAAAATATGTTTACGTTTTTGGTTATGTGTTTGTGGTTATAATTTAGTTATGGTTGTGTTTTGAATAAGCTTATGGTTGTAGATAGCATGTGTCTGGTTGTGATTATTTAACGTGGTGATGGTTATAATGTGATGGTTGTGTTTATAATTTGTTAGTGATTATAATGTGGTTATTATGGTTGTGGTTAAAATGTAGTTTTGGTTGGGATTATATGCTCCTATTGTTGTTAGAATATGGTTATGGTTTTGGCTAGGTTATGGTTGTGGTTATAATGTGGTTCTGGTTATGGTTATTTGGGTTGTGGTTATGTTGTGGATATTTTGTTCTGGATATATTGTAGTTCTGGTGGTAATGTGGTAGTTATAGTTATACTTGTGTGGTGGTTATGTTTTGATTTTGGTAATGTAATTGTTGTTGTAATGTTGAAGTTATGTGGTTGTGCTTAGAAAGTTGTGGTTATGTTGTGGTCTCAATGGGGTTATAATGTGTTCTGGTTATAATGTGCCTGGTGTGGTTGTGCTTAAATTGTGGTTGTGGTTATATTTTGGCTGCTGTGGTTGTAATTCTGTGGTGGTTATGCTTGTGTTTGCAATGTGGTTATAGTTTTTAAGATGCAGGTTGTGGATATAGTTGTGGTTATATTGCGGCTATTGTGGTTATGTCTCTGTAGTTGTGGTTGATGGTTGTAGTTATAGTGTGGCTTTATTTGTGGTTGTAAAATAGTTGTACAACTGTTACTATTAACAATATTTGTTTTAATATGTTGTTGATGTTGATATATTATTGTTGTTGATGTTGATATGAACATTATTACTGTTGATAATGTCACAACATTGTTGATGTTGTTATGATATTGTTGTTGATTTAGAATTGACTAGTGAGTGTCATCAAGGAATCCATATAATTTGCAGTCACTTAAGTAATATCCTGCACAAATGTGTGGTAAGTGCTAGTACATAATAAATACATACAGGCAGACCTCGCTTGTCGCTGAACATGCGTTCCTGAAGAAGTGAGCACTCATCGAATAAGCGGTAAATGGGGTCATAATACCATTCTATATATGCAGATGCGTTCCCGACAGCGTTATTTCTTTTGTATGAGTAATATAAGAATAATTTATTATAACATCAGTAAGTATAATAGTAGGTTTTTACCCTTTTAACTGGTACAAAACTGACACCTTTATTCAAGGCATCATGTTTGCAATGACCACAACACAAGTAGTCAAAAAAGCAAACAAAAAGAAGCAACTCTGATAAGGATGATAATATGCACTGTCCTTGAAGTTGATTGGCCCACACCCGAGACGGCTTTCTTTAGAGCCTAGTCCCCATTGGTGTAGGGCCAGATGACACCAGAAGGCGTACAACTCAAACACAGTGCAATATCAGAGTATTGAGAGCTCGGGGTAAGCATTTACACTATGAGATCTCTTTTACCAGTGGCAAAATATAATAGTAGGTTTTTACCCTTTTAACTGGTACAAAACTGACACCTTTATTATGTGGGCCAATCAACTTCAAGGACAGTGCATATTATCATCCTTATCAGAGTTGCTTCTTTTTGTTTGCTTTTTTGACTACTTGTGTTGTGGTCATTGCAAACATGATGCCTTGAATAAAGGTGTCAGTTTTGTACCAGTTAAAAGGGTAAAAACCTACTATTATATTTTGCCACTGGTAAAAGAGATCTCATAGTGTAAATGCTTACCCCGAGCTCTCAATACTCTGATATTGCACTGTGTTTGAGTTGTACGCCTTCTGGTGTCATCTGGCCCTACACCAATGGGGACTAGGCTCTAAAGAAAGCCGTCTCGGGTGTGGGCCAATCAACTTCAAGGACAGTGCATATTATCATCCTTATCAGAGTTGCTTCTTTTTGTTTGCTTTTTTGACTACTTGTGTTGTGGTCATTGCAAACATGATGCCTTGAATAAAGGTGTCAGTTTTGTACCAGTTAAAAGGGTAAAAACCTACTATTATATTTTGCCACTGGTAAAAGAGATCTCATAGTGTAAATCAGTAAGTATGATGTACTGTACTCATGAGTGCATTCTACTGCACCCCTACAAGGCAGCGGTGAGAGGCGAGGTTGTTGGAGCTGCTGCTGCACTCCCAATCGTGGTCATTCTCAGTGAGGTTTATTTTAGGTGGAGCCTGAGAGACTTTATCCTGTTTTTGTGAGTTCTCATCTCACTAACATTGACATTTAAAAAATAAAAATAGATTTTAAAAATTTAATTGTGACTACAAATCGTGATAAAACTAAGCTCAACTATTTTTTTATTTTACCAGGCAAGGCCCACTGAGCTATATATCTCTTTTTTAGAAGCGACCTAGCCACAAATTGTAGCCTAATGAAGTGGCTTATCACGTGGAATTTTGTAGCAGCCAATCGAATCTCTGGGGGTGGGGTCTGGTTGGCTGAGAGCCATGCATTTCCTCGGCCAGCACTGCTGCGTATTCTCACAAAAATTTGTAGGTGCTTTACAGTATAGATGTTTTGATCTTACATTTTTTCGTAAACATTTTCTCCAGGACAAGGAGTGCTATAAAGAATCAGCATTCTACGGGGTCGCACTAGTGAGGTTTCCCTGTTAGTACATTTGGTTATTGTGACATTTTGTATTATACACAAAGGCACTATGGGTATGCTGTGTAAACCCAGCAAGGATCTGGGTTTGATTCCCAACTTTGATGCGTTTATGTGTGAAGTTATGATCAACCCCTGTCCTGTGTGGGGTTTCTCCAGGTTATCTGGTTTCATCCCATAAGCTAACAAAGCAATGTAAGAAGAGGCGTTAACTAACCATCCCAATGCTGAATTATTACCTGAAAATTAGTCACTTGGGATTATACATAGCAACGTTACCCCCGACTCCACGGTCTTGGTCAGACCATCCAGACAAAGTATCTTGAGACTGACTGAGGCTACGCTGGGTAAGCAAACAATAATAATACAATACCACAATATAAATTATGTTCTCTGCATAATCTCCGAAATGCACCTGTGGATAAAATCCCTGTGCCCACATATGTCAGAGTGCACCCGCGTGCTGGAAGAAGCTGCACAAGGTCAGAAGGAGGTGATGGCAATCCGCTCTGAGATTAGTCACGTGATCAAGAAGGTGGCTCATCTGCAGAGCAGAGCACGCCAGCGTGTGACAAGGTTTGGGCCAGAAGCTAGTGGAGACCAACTGCCTCGCGGTAATCAGCGCAGCACATACCACACACAGAAACGTGCACAGCTCTCACACAGATAGTCATAATGACAATGATATGTCTTTGCCCTTCTTTTTGGGGTTGCCACAGTGACTCGGAGATGTTATTTCCCTCGCCTGGTATGCAGGAGGTCGTGGGTTCGATCCCGACCCTGCCGCCTGTATATTTGGAGTTTGCATGTTCTCTCTCCCTGTGGTTGCATGGATTTTCTCTGAGTCCTCCTGTTTTTTCTTCCACATTTAGAATTAACATCACGCGTTTAGAGTATTTCACTGCTATTAATTTCTGCATGATAAGCCACTTCGTTAAGCTATAATTTGTGGCCAGGTCGCTTCTGGAAAAGAGCTATATAGCTCAGTGTGCCTTACCTGGTAAAAGAAAAATAGTTTAGTGTTAGCATCTCATAGTTCTTTACACACAAAATAAGCTAATTGCATCTCATCGGGTCTCAAATATTGAAAGAGCTCCCCCAGTGGCAGCTGTCCCTGAGGCACAAGGTGACTCAGAATCTGGCCCTGTTGTAAGGCATTCTTGCGCTAGTAGGAGTGATATTGCTATACCTTATCCCAGTTGAATAATTTTTGGATCATTTTTCGAATTGGACAAAATCGAACCTTGACGCTGGCACACAATGGCCTCTTTTCAAATGACGTCATGAGATCTTTAACGTTCGTTGTGAAGCAAACTGCATAGTATGAATAATTCACACCAAAGAAATAACCAGGATTCGTTGACCACACGGAACGCACACACCTCTCAAGTGGATGGTGACTTACACTCTGTTAGTAGCTTGAATCCAGTTGTGCATTAAAAACATTGCAAAAAAGGAGAAATCATTAAACAATGATGGATGTCTTGTTTTTTCCAGCGAGCGCTGCAAGTGAGCGCAGGCCACACACGCATGGCAATCCACCAAGCACAGAGGTGGCATGCGGCGATCTCAACAGCACAGGGGTACATAGAGTCTTTGTTGTGTAGAATGGTTGACGGAGCCTATTATTATGTAGGGGTGGGGTGCGGCTGAAATCGCTGCCAGGAATGCTCCAAATATGTGTAGTTAAATATTTTTTGCATGATTAATAACATCTTTCCAATGATTACTAAGTTTGTACCCATCATCACGGTTGAAATTATGTCTGTATTTGCATATTTGGATGGCCTCGTGTACAAACCTTTGATGGTAGCCAGGAGGCTTGCAGAGCACCTTAGTCTCGGAAAAGACAATTTCATGAGAGCCCACAGCGTTGTAGCAATGATCGGCAATGGCGGAAGAATCAGTTTTGCCGTGTTTCAGATCTGACTTGTGCTCGCGGACACGATCAGAGATATGACGTTTCGTTTATCCAATGTAGCAATCACCACAACTGCAACTCAGTTTGTATACTCCAGGGTATTGTAAGTCAGGAATGACATCTTTCACAGATGGAATTAGGTCACGGATTTTATGTACTGTACTGAATCGGACTTGAATCTTATGTTTGTTTAGAAATTTAGAGATCTTTTTGGTCACGCCTTATATGTATGGTAACGTGATAGTTTTGATCGGAGTTTCTTGTGGCTGTTTCTGTATGGTGGGAGAAACAGCTTGGCGGATGGTGCGGTCAGAGTATCCGTTCATCCTGAGGGCCCGATGTACATGTCTTAATTCACTGGCCAGGTGGTGTTGGTCAGAAATGCCATGAGCTCTGTGGTATAGCGTTTTGATGAGAGAATTCTTTTGAGATGGGTGGTGGTGGGAATCGGGTTTCAAGTAGGAATCTGTGTGGGTGGCTTTCCTGTAGACAATGTCCCAAGGATTCGTCAGGTCTTCTCTCAAACAAAATATCTAAGAATGGTAGTTTACCATCTTTCTCCACTTCCATGGTGAATCTGATGGATGGGTGTCTGGAATTGATGTGGTCCAAGAAGTGGTTCAAATGCTGGGAGGCCATGTGGCTAAATGACGAAAGTGTCATCCACATACCTCTTCCACAGGGAAGGACGCAGGGTGGATGTCTGGATGGCGTCTGATTCAAACTTTTCCATGAACATGTTGGCTATCACTGGTGACAAGGGGGAGCCCATAGGGGTACCCTCATTCTGTTTGTAGAAGGTGCCATTCCAAGTAAAATAAGTGTTGGTGAGGCAATGCCTAACCAGCGCAGGTACATCCGAATTCAATCCATGTTGGACCAAGTCCTCAATTATTGTTAGGGTGTCAGGTACTGGGACCTTGGTAAACAGAGATACTACATCAAAACTGACGAGGATATCATCAGGAGATAGTACCATGTCCTTGACCATAGAGACTAATTGGGTTGAATTGAGTACTGCCGAAGAGGTCTTGCCTGTGAAGGGAAGCAGAGTATCTGATAGAAACCGGGCCAGTTTGTACGTGATCGTCGACACGATGGGTCGTAGCGGGGTGCCTTCTTTATGGATCTTGGGAAGACCATAGAGTCATTGCTACAATGCTGTGGGCTCTCATGAAATTGTCTTTTCCGAGACTAAGCTGCTCTGCAAGCCTCCTGGCTACCATCAAAGGTTTGTACACGAGGCCATCCAAATATACAAACACAGACAATTTCAACCGGGATGATGGGTACAAACTTAGTAATCATTGGAAAGATGTTATTAATCATGCAAAATATATTTAACTTCCCATATTTGGAGCATTCCTGGCAGCGATTTCAGCTGCACCACCCCTACATAATAATAGGCTCAGTCAACCATTCTACACAACAAAGACTCATTTCTTGGCAGTGAGTTAAGCCGCACCACCTCTACATAATAATAGGCTGTCAACCATTCTACACAACAAAGACTCTATTCCTGACAGCGAGTTAAGCCGCATCACCATACGTAATAATAGGCTCAGTCAACCATTCTACACAACAAAGACTCATTTCTTGGCAGTGAGTTAAGCCGCACCACCTCTACATAATAATAGGCTGTCAACCATTCTACACAACAAAGACTCATTTCCTGACAGCGATGTAAGCTGCACCACCTCTACATAATAATAGGCTCAGTCAACCATTCTACACAACAAAGACTCATTTCTTGGCAGTGAGTTAAGCCGCACCACCTCTACATAATAATAGGCTGTCAACCATTCTACACAACAAAGACTCTATTCCTGACAGCGAGTTAAGCCGCATCACCGTACGTAATAATAGGCTCAGTCAACCATTCTACACAACAAAGACTCATTTCCTGACAGCGATGTAAGCTGCACCACCTCTACATAATAATAGGCTCAGTCAATCATTCTACACAACAAAGACTCATTTCCTGGCAGCGATTTCAGCCGCATCATCTCTACATAACAAAAAGGCTCAGTCCCTTTTACACGCACCTTTACATCATCCGCACCTAGTTTACACAACAAAGGCCCATTCCTAACAGCGTGCTTCAGCCGCACCGAACCTCACAAAAATAATATTCAGGGCCTACCTTGGCTCCTCCCACCCTCAACCAGTATATATACAAATACTGTGTTCTTGGAATTTCTCTCACTTGATACAGCTATCGTGCTGTGACGGTTCCACGTGAAGACGGAAGCTTGTGTTGCCTCCGAAACGTCGTGATTTTTATTTTTATTTTACTTTTATTAATTTAAAATTTTTACCGTGACTTTACCGAAAAAAAACCTAAGAATATGAATCCTTGCAGTCACGAAAGCTTCAAATTTAGAATCTATGTGGTGAGTCTACGGGTCTCTGTGGTGAGTCTATGTGTTTGTGTGATGAGCCCATAGACCTCTGCGAGTCTTACTCTGCGAGTCCGTGGGTGTGTTTGAGTCTGTGGTTCTGTGTGATGAGTCTATGCGCCTTTGTGTAAGTGTATGGGTCTCTGTGTGGTGATTATATGGGTCTCTGTGTGGCGAGTCTGTGGGTCTCTATGTGAGTATGGGTACGATTGAGTCTATGGGTATCTGTCTGGTGAGTCTATGTGTCTCTCTGTGGTGAGTCTATGTCTCTGTTTGGTGAGTCTATATAGGGCTCTGTGCGAGTCTGTGGATCTGTTTGAGTCTGTGGTTCTCTGTCTGATGAGTATATGGGTTTTTATGGTGAGTCTATGGTTCTCTGTGCAAGTCTGAGCGTCTGTGCGTGGTGAGTGTATAGGTCTATGTGTGATGACTCTATGGGTCTCTATGTGATGGATATATGTGGTGCACATATCCTGGCACAAGTGCCGTGGTGTCGTCACCACCACTTAGTGGAGAATGCTCCTCCCCCTGCTCCTGCTTGTTGTTGTGCTCGGGAAGGAGACAAAACGAGACGAAAAATCTCAACGATTTTCATTTTACCAAGTAAGGTCCACTGAGCTAAACATCTCATTTTATTACACGCTTTTATTTAACTGACTCTGTTGTTGTCGTATCCTCAAATCTTGTAACTCAATTTTAACCCACTTCCCAATGTGGTATCGACTGCAAACTTGGTATACTTATGTCATACTGATGACAAAACTAGATTGTATAAAAAAAAGTATTTTTAAACATTCATTTTTATATGTTATGATTCGGCTTGGGTCCAATTGTCCACGCTCAACTGACGTTGGCTGTAAATCACCACGGTCCCTTACGTTATGGCAAGCCTCGGGGCAACTTCCTGGAGTCGTGGAGTTCCGCCATTACTCGTACGGTACATTTCATTAAAGCGATTTTAAAAAAAAGTACTTTTAAATATTACTTATTCAGAAGCGACTTGGCACCAATGATAGATCAACGAAGTGGTTAATCATCACGTGTAAATTACAGCAGCCAAATACTTTAAACGAATATTCATATTCTTGGTTCTTTCGGTAAAGTCAAGTAAATAGAAAACCAAAACATAAAAATATATATTAATAAAATAAATATAATATATTGCTTTTATTATTTTCAATATATCTTATTTTGTATTTTTATTAAAAAATATATTTAAAACAAATATTTTTTTTTCTATTTACGTGACTTTACCAAAAGAACCAAGAATATGAATTCCTGCAGTCAAGTCAAAACTTTAAACGAATGTTTCTAAATGTGGAGGGAAGAGGACCCGGAGGACCCGGAGAAAAATCCACGCGACCACGGGGAGAGACAGAGACACGCAAACTCCAAATATACAGCAGGCATCAGGGTCGGGATCGAACCCAAACTCCTGTATACCAGGCGAGGAAGTTAGGGGGGAAAGCAGAGACAGCGAGAGGGGGGAGAATTAGTCAAACTCACACTCAATATTACTCACTAACCATGATACACTTACCATGATACCATCATACTCACGCATTCACCATCATACTCGCACACAAGCCCACACACATCAACAGTCGCCATTCACCATTACGTGGTGGTGACGTCACCACAATAACTCAGATGCCATGGTTTGACGGCTGTGCCAGGCTAAGTGCAGGAGGAGGTCATGGGCCAGACTCGGGTACCATGGGTTGACTGCAAGAGGAGGGCTAGACCCTGGTGCTATGGATTAACTCGTGTGCCACCACCTGCACAACCACCACAATAACAACCACACAATTATAATCACAACAATAACCACGACCAACAACTATAACCACAACTATAATTTAACCACAACTATAATGTAACCACAACTATAATGTAACCACAACTATAATTCCCACCAGCCACGCGGCCGTCTGGGAGTGCCTCTCAGCAGCAGCAGCAGCAGGGCCGAGCTCTGCTTGAAGCTGCGCCGTGAACTCCGCAGAACGTGACGGCTGTGGGCCAGGCGCCTCCTCTGTCTCCTCCCACCGCCGCCGCCACTGCTGATGTGGATACACCGCACGAGGTTCTCACCTTCAGGCTGAGTCGACGTAGAGGAGGCCCAGCGAGCCGCCGCTTCAGAAGCTTTCGCTCGCCACTGACGGTGGCCGTGAGCGGGAATCCAAACCAGCCGCTCGCCACCCACAATCCACAGCGCGCGCCGCCTCCACTCGGCCAAGGCCTAAGCGGAAGTAGCAGCGGGGGGAGGGGGGTGGGACATGGGGGGTGAGGGGGCGGGTCGCGAGGGGGAGGGGCATGGGCGGGGGTTGCCAGGAAGGGGGGAAAGGGGGGTGGGGTCGCGACGGCGGGACAGGGGGGGCATGGGGGGCAAAAGGGGGGTCACGATGGTGGGGAGGGCGGGGGCATGGGGGGAGTCGCGAGTGGGGGGCATGGGGGGTCACGAGGGGGGCAGGAGCGGGCATGGGGTGGGTCACGAGGCTGGGCATGGTGTTAGTCACCAGGGGGGGCTGGGGGGGGCAAGGGGGTCGCGAGGGGGAGGGTAGGGGGGCATGGGGTATGAGGGGAGCAAGGGGGGGCACAGGGGGCATGAGGGGGCCGCGAGGGGGAGGGCGGGGGGCAAAGGGGGGTCACGAAGGGGAGGGGCAGGGGGGGCATGGGGGGGGTCGCGAGGGGGCGCGCGGGGGTCATGGGGGGGTCGCGAGGGGGGGCATGGTGGGAGTCACGAGGGGGGGGTCTGGGGGGGCATGGGGAGGCATGGTTGGAGTTGTGAGGGGGAAGGGGGCAGGGGGGGTCGCGAGGGGGAGGGTAGGGGGGCATTTCGGGTTGAGGGGGAGCATGGGGGGGCAAGGGGGGTCGCGAGGGGGTGGCGGGGCGGCATGGGGGTCACGAGGGAGGGCGCAGGAGTGGCAGGAGGGGCATGAGGGGGAACGCGAGGGGGAGGGTGGGGGGGGCATGGGGGGTCAGGAAGGGAAGGGGCAGGGGGGGCATGAGGGGGGTCGTGAGGAGGGGCATTGGGGGGTTGCGAGGGGGCGCACGGGGGTCATGGGGGGGTCGCGAGGGGGGGCATGGTGGGAGTCATGAGGGGGGGCTGGGGGGGCATGGGGAGGGAGTCGTGAGGGAGGGGCATGGGGGGTTGTGAGAGGGAGGGGCATGGGGGCAAGGGGGGTCACGAGGGGGGGGGGGTACGGGGGCATGGGGGATTATGGGGGAGCAATGGGGGGCAAGGGTGGTCACGAGGGGGGGGCGGGAGGGTCACGATAGTGGGGGGAGCGGGGGGGGGCAGGGGCGGTATGAGGGGGCTGGAAATAACAGCTAACATGGAAGCATCACAGTCAGTTAATACTTTACCTGGTTAATAACGGCCTTCAAATGTCCATCCTCTCGGTTGAAGTGTGTCTGTGTTTATATATCTGGATGGCTTCATAAACAAATCTCTGAAGGTAGCCGGTAGGTTTGCAGAGTACCTCCGTCTTGGAAAAATCAATTTCGTGCCCTCGTCGAGGAGGCAGCTCTCCTATCTTACAGTTACATGCTAATTTTTCACATTAACATCACTAGCCCCGACCACTTCTTTATGACCCTTGGGCTACACCCATTGCAAACATTTTACAACAGTCTGCCCCAGCAGCAGACCATGCTTTCCCACCTGATGACAGACGCTTGTGTTGCGCCCGAAACATCGTGATTTATTATATTTTATACCTATGTGACTTTACCCAAAGATCTAAAGAGTATGATGATGGTTACGATAATCGAGATGGTGACAAGATGTTAAATACCTCGCCTAGTATACAAGAGGCTGTGGGTTCGATCCAGACCCTGATGCCTGTATATTGGAGTTTGCATGTCTCTCTCGCCGTGGTCGCATGGATTTTACTGCAGGTCCTCCGGTTTTTCCCTCCACATTTAAAAACATGCATTTAAAGTGTTTGTCTGGTATAAATTTACACTCAATAAGCTACTTCATTGGGCTATAATTTGTGGCCAGGTCACTTCTAAATAAGAGTTATGTAGCTCAGTTGGCCTTACCTGGTCGAATAAATTTTTTACATTTTAGTTAAATCGGCTCCCTTAAATAGTAATTTTTTTTTAATGTCTGAAAAAACAATGATTTACATAAATAATGCCAGTGTCATCTTCTTGGTTCTTTCGGTAAAGTCACGAAAAAGGGAAGTAATAAAATAATAAAAATAAAACATAATAAAATAATTCTCACGACGTTTCGGCCACAACGCAAGCAGCCGTCCTCAGGTGAAGACCAGGTCTGTCGGGGAGACAGCGTCTGAATGAAACACCACCACGCTTGGAGCGTATATTTAAGCTGGGTTGGAAGGGGGGAAGGGCGCCTTGACAAAAGAATTTGCATATCAAGAGGAATTTAGCATTTTTATGGGAAATGCAGGTATGTGATTAGTACTACTTGTGAAATTCGTAGTAGGTGGGCGGGGGGTTTCAAAGTCATATTATGCCCGTGCATTATGCAGGATTAGCAGCATCAAAGGGAGGGGATAGGGGTAGCATTAATAAAGGGAAGGAATGTTAATAGTATGTAGCTGCAGTAACTAAACAACCACGTAAAAAACTAAAGTATAAACTACATAGTATCATCAGTATACTAAATATACTCTCCAATAAGCTGAGCTACTAACAGTAAGTAATAAATGACAATTCTATGTCGCAAAAAATATAATATGCTTCCAGCTAAACTTTTTTCCCTTACATCACAAGGGTCTATCCCGTACTATATGCTGCCATAGACAAACCCAACATTAAATTATATACTGTATTACTATACACAACCCTATACCTTAGAATAATACATAGTGTAATATTACACTATGTATTATTCTATCCACCCTACTGTATATCACACTGCTGTATATTCACTATACAATTACGATACTATATATTGCCTTATAAATTGTATTAAACATTACAATTTTATACTATTTATTATTATACAATCTGCTATACACTATACCATTGACCGTCGAGTGAAAGATACTAAGAGGAAGCAACGAAATATGTCAATGGAAGAGTGGTAGTAGGAGACTTGCAGCGGAGGAAAGAATCCATTCCCTGCGGAAAATACAAGATATATAGTCATGCCAGTGAGTGGACTGCGGTCTGAAAGTCACCGTAAACGTGAACACAATCAGTTAAGATCCGAAATGGTTTATTACGTCCTTCCAATGATTGCTGAGCCAGAATCCATCTTCTCGGTTGAAATTGTCTCTGTGTTTGTATATGTGGATCGCCTCATGAACGAATCTCTCATGATAGCCCGATGGCTTGCAGAGAACCTCTGTCTTGGAGAAGTCAATGTCATGTGAGCCCACTGAATTGTAACAGTGATCTGCCACGGCTGAGGTGTTTGTCCTACCGTGTTTCACGTCTGCTTTATGTTCACGGATGCGGTCCGAGACATGTCGTTTGGTTTCTCCAATGTAACTGCTACCACAGAGCAACTTAGTTTGTAGACGCCAGGGTACTGTATGTCTGGAACCACATCTTTTACAGACGGGACCAGATCACGGATTTTATGTACTGTGTTAAATCGGACCTGGATCTTGTGTTTAATCAGGATTTTGGAGATCTTTTTTGTGACCCCAGCAATGTAGGGGTAAGGTGATGGTCTTGAGAGGCTCCTCAACAGCGTGCCAAGTCCAGCAGGAAGCGAATCGTTCATTGTCATTTGTGTGTAGTCTCTTGTTTATTTCACATAGGTCAACAGATGTAGGTCTTATATAGATCAAATTCAACCTCTTATATAACCCTGGATTCTTATGGTCAGAATGAGGCTTCACTAGAACCTGCATGATAAATATAAAAAAATTGCTGTGAATGATAGACAAAAGACAATTTCATGAAGTTACTTATGTAAAACAGGCAAAAATGCTTAAGGCATATTCAACCGACCAGTCTCTGATGGGGTCTTTAGACTGGCAGCCCGTTCTCTGATGGGGTCTCTCGACAATAGATCAACAAACCTCACCCTGTTTATAAATGTTATCCTTTATTCAGCACCAGGCTCAAACATGACCACGGCACTCTTTTAATAGATATTGCCTTTGAACAGCAGGTGGTAAAATTGACGATGACATTGTCAGGAAATTGGTAGCCCCCTTCCTGCCGCACTGCAGAATGTCCTCGGCGTCTGCTCGTGCATGCCACTTCTGTCAAAAGTGCTGCAAGCCATGGAGACTGGGTCCCTGTGGGTTTTGTCCAAATTGGTCAGTGCCCACCTGCACTGCCGAAGCAGCTGCATGAAGCTTAAGGATTTCCCACTGAGTGGCTCTGTGGTCAGAATGCTCGACTCGCTATCAGATGAACATGAGTTAAATTCCCACTCGAGGCACAACTCTGCACAACTGATATCGTCAGCTCTCTACTTGATTCGGTAGGATAAGCGTCATTTTCGGAAAAGATGACAGTGGTTTTTATTTTGTGACGCTGATGCCCACCACAGGATGTGACATTTCCATCATTCTTTCACATTTATCAATGGAGATTATTCCTGCCACACACTCCATTACAAATGGTTCACCTTTTGAGTTGAATGGCCTTATAAACGCCACTTGTGTTGTCCATCTTTCACTAAATTTAAAATCACTCATTAAAATGGCATTGGTAAAACATCCAAATGCAGGACTCTTCTGAAAAATTGTGAGGTTCGGTGAAGCTTTCCTGACTAAATATCGACTTTATATTGCAGTATACCCAAAGGTGGTATGGTGGCACTGTGGGTTGTGAACCCAGTGACCCGCGTTGGATTGGCGACCGCTGCTAACATCAGCAGTGAATGTTTTCTGAACTGGTCCTGAACCCTCGCTTCAACAACTCTAGCCAGCGTGATGAAGTATGGTCAAGCAGCGCCCATAACTGACACAGCATAGAAGGGCCCTTCTTCAACCAGCAGTGGATTAACAAGGGGCTGTAAATAATTGTATACCACACTCATGAAACACGGGATATCAAACAATAACATCGTTTTCAATAGTTTTTCGAGTTCCTTTGTTGTTGTGTGGTATGCAC